TCGCGCGCACATCGTATCGAAACTACAAAATCAGCCATCGATGGTGCTCCGTTGGTGCAACGTAATTTTGCAAACCTATCCAGTTTTTCTATCAGTACTCAACTTCTATGTAATAAAAATATCATATTCGGAATTAGAATCGATAACTGAGTCGACTGATGTGTATTTCGAAATCTTTAGTTCATTTTTATTTTTTGGTGAAAATCTCGATTTTTCAACGTGAAAATTCGAAAAAAATTTAAATAGATAGGATAGAGATACACATCCGTCGACTCAGTTATCGATTCCAATTCCGAATATGATATTTTTATTACATAGAAGTTGAGTACTGATTGAGAAAATCAAGAATTATGAGCAGAATTCCGCCTTTTTCGCCGCACATTTAGAAAAAATGAATTTTCTCAACAATGAAAAAGAATTTCGAAAAAAGCGATACGAATTTTTGTAGCACGTGAAACAGCGATTCGAATGATATAAGAATGAAGGGTCTATGTATCAACCAGAAAAATTAGATAGGTTTGCAAAATTACATTGCACCAACGGAGCACCATCGATGGCTGATTTTGTAGTTTCGATACGATGTGCGCGCGAACCTTCTAGACCACATGACTAGATGCAGTTTCACACGAAAAATCCAAATATCACATTGGTAAGCGCGAAAAGTTGAACGGAGAGAAGAACTCGTTTTCTCAAAAGTCATTTTTTTTCGAATTTTGATACCTTCTCAGTATTTTACGTTTTTCTTCCTGAGAACTGATTAAAACGAAAAAAGAAGGTTAGATGCGTGATCAGCAGCTAAAGGCAAATCAGAATATGTGTGTTTTATTTAAAAAGCGAATCCACTAAAATTTTGATTTACTGGCGCCTTACTAGCAGTTTCTTTGCTAAACCAGCTCGTTTCAATAAATTGTGGTTTTTACGTATTAAAACATCTAAAATAATATGCTATACTGTTTTTTGATTGATATTCAGCGGTGACTTGTAAATCTGCATGTCTATTCAAATCTGAAACTAATTCTTTAATATTTTGCTGTGGAAACTACGACACAAGTAGAAGATCGTCAACGTATCTTGCTAACCCTAAATATGGATATCTATCGAAATCATAATTATTATCAAGAAATTCCTTTAGTGGTATATCAGTCAAGAAAGGTGAAATAGAGGATCCTATTGGCAATCCTCGTTTTTGTTTATATAAACTACTGCCAAACTGAAATATAACATTTTTAGTGCTAAATTCTACTAAACGTAATAAGTTACTTTTCGACAAACTTTTCCTACCTTTCCAAGTTTCATCACTATCTAGCAAATCGCTTAAAATGTTTAAGGCTTTCTTTCTATCTACTAAAGGTAAACAGATGCGACACATCTAAACTCGCCAAAGTACTATTTTTCTTTAATTTTAGCTTATATAACTTATTAATGAGATCGATATCATTAATAAGTGAAATACACAAGATCTTGTGGGTTTTTAACTGATCGCACATTTTCCGCTAATGGTTTTATTATTTAAGTAAGATACTTCTCTAAAGCCGATCCTATAGCGTCGCGCGTCGACACTATCCTTCACTTGCCGTCGAACCTTACCCCTTCTTCTGCCCACCGTCGATAGTGATACGGATATAGAAACTGTGTTGTCAACGAAATACACAGTGACAAACACACTGAAGACTCACGATGAAGCATTCCTTCGCTTGGCGAAAGAACTAATGCGGGGAACTGATATCAAAGAGAATCTGTTTGATATATTCTACCGGCGCAGTAATGGATGTAGTATGACGTGTCCCTGCTACAAGCACTATAGTGCTTGTAGTCGCAGTATACTGCGACAATAATGACCCTCTGAACGTCGCACACTGCTTTGACTACCATTTACTGTGCGCATTTGCGGGGTACAGACATGTAGTCACAGGAGTGCCAAGTGCTGTCACCTGCACCTCTAATGAAGCTTTCACAGAGAGCACTATTCGTGTATATGGAGGAAATACAGTGGAAGATATTCCCTTTCGGCAGCATTTGTCGCGATTCACCCCCTCATGGAATATATTCAACCAAAAATCTCAGCTGCAAGAATATCAAAAGAGAGCATATATAGCCTGCGATGAGGACCTGGCTCGTACGTGGGAATTTCCTGCCCGAGCTCCGCAAGAGCTCAAAAAGCAGTTTTACCGGTCTACCGTAAAGATACACTGCCATGCTCTTCTTGTCGGTATCGGTTACACGAACACATCACTGTTCTCTGTTATGACAACAGCTGCGAGAATCGTCATCACAACTCGCAATATCGACCAAAAGACTTCCGCCACCCCCGCCACCACCTCTGTTGTTCAAGTTTTTGCACTCTTCTAGTTTATTTACCGTCTCTTCAACAAGGCGTTTCGCACTGAAAACATTAATATCATCTTCAACTATCGAGCATTCTGACGAATCTATTCAAACAACTCTCCGTTCTGTACTCGTCTAAGTTTAACGACCGTACGGAAACTATGATCGTCTATCGAGGCCAGAGTATGCATATCGAAGAGTTAGAGAAGCTACAACAAAGCAAGGGCCATCTCTTCTCTTTCAATACATTTGTTTCCACGTCGACTTTGTTGCTTCCGATTTCTCTAGTGAAGAGCGTTCTCTGGGCATCGAATCTGTCATATTTGAAATGGAAATTGATCTATCCGTACATTGAAGACTGTTTGCTCGAGTAGACTGTGTCAGTATGATCAAAAATGAAAAGGAAATTTTATGAACGACTTTTGAAAGAAATTCAGAAAGACCATCGAGATTTCGGCGCGCGTCATTCAAAGATCGAACAGTATTTTGTTTTCTCGATGTTCTTACGTATTCGGATACAAGAGAATGCACTGATTTCGAATATCACATTTTTTTTGCTTCGCGACCTTTTCTTCACGGCGAAAAACGCATAATACGACAAGCATGCTGAAGAGGCGAAAATCAGTCCTGCGAGAAAACTAAGTCGAGTTTCTGCCCTTTCCATTTCGAAGCTCTGTAACTTAGTTTTTCGGATTCAGCGTGTCAAACTGCCTATGAAAATGTGTTTTTGAAGTTCCACATATTGCGGGGCCGGTGCAAAAAATTCGTTCCAAGTGGCTGAGGAAAAGGCCAAAACCTATAAAAGATGTGTTTATAGACTTTCGAACCGCTTCTACAGCATATGTCCATGTGGCTAGCAAAAATTGTCCACTGTGTATCATCAAAACGCACTGCACTGAGTATCATTCAGCAACAAAACGGATCAATGGTGGTGGTCGGAAGTCAGGCAACATCAGTGAACTGAGTAAGAAATTCACTGGTTGCCGCAAGATTTGACGGAATATAGGAGTTTCATTAAAAAAACTTTTATTAAAAGGAAGTTCATTAAAATTTTTAATGAAACTCTTGTGCCATCGAAAACTCTAGGTCACAGTTATTTTTCAGGAGACATTTAAATGAAAGTTCCGGTACTTTCACTGAAAAAAAACGCTTTAATTAAAGTCTTTTTAATGAACGTCACCCAAACCGATTCGACTGAGTGAAGAAACGACTACTCAACATTTGCTTGCAACATTTGTGCAACATCTGCTTGGGTGAGCATCGACTAGTTCGAGATTTGTTCCTGAAATCAAGTCGCAGAAGCCTCTTTCTCGTTCTCTTGCATCTGGCTGGAATAGGTGTCACACAGAGCCAGGAACAGACATATCACGCTGTGCTGATTTCGACATCCATCACCAAGTTTCAGCGATAGGCGCCGCTCGAAAATGCAGCCATTTATGAAACCAAAACGAGCGCTTAAAGTCTGGGCTTTAAGTTCAATTATGGATTTAAATTTGGTTGCACAAAGAGGGACTTTCGGCTAATCGTTTTCATTCGCTGTCAGGAAAGTTCGTCTAACGGGAGAATAGTTTTATATGCGAAAGTTGTTCCCAGAGGCACTGAAAAGAATTTTTCAAGCTGTAAAAATATGTTTGGTGTAATGGCGGACAAGAACTATATCGGATCCGTCCATATAAGAGTTATATGTGAGGGGGCCGATTTGGGCTCTTATCGTCACCCGTCCTTTTTGGGCAAAGGGGGACCTCAGGTATTTTCGGTGAAAAAAACGCTTTTTCGAATTTGTTTACTTTTGATTGATATGAGGTTCTGGGTGCTCGGAAGTGATTTTTATGCGAAAAGAGAGGGCTCCCGACAATAAAAATTACATTTCCGCCTGCTCTGTAGAAAATACACACTGTGTCCCGTCCTCATGCCATCATACTTCATTTTTAATCTTTCCCTGCCCTAGCGATCAATTTAGCAAGTCAATACGAAAGAAGAAATTGCATAGATATGCTCGATAAATCCATTTTACAGGGCTTTTTAGGTTAATAAAGGGGTGGAGCGAAACAAATTGCTCTATGAGCATTTTCGAATTTTCTGCTCTTCATTAACACTCTACCACGGTAATTTTCGTATACAAAGATCTTGCATTTAATTCTCTCCAAGAACATACTGAATCGAATGTGAAAGTAAAAACTTAAACGAACAATACTGCGAATCACCGACACGGCCGACTTCTTAACCTGAATACCTGTACTTACTATATTGTGTCTAATATTGACCCTAACAAGCAGGATTCAAATATTTAAATAAGTCAGACCTCAAAGGAAAGAGACAGAAAACTTTCAAATGATAAAATATAAAAGTATTTCATGCTGATGTTTTCAGAGCTTATACTGTTACCATCATTTTATGCCATAAGGATAAATTTTCGGATTAGACAATTCCATGTCAATTACAGACGTTTGAACAATTCTCAAGGAGTAATTGTTATGTTTGTGTATACTGCTGAACCTGATCCAGTCCACATTATCCAGAAACTCATATTCAACTGGGTGCCAGGAACAGTTGTAAATGATTGCCACGTATACTCCACTGTGCTAGCACCTTGATAATAACACCAAGTGCCTCCATGACAGCTATTACTTGTTACTACATTTGTTCCTTGCCATCCAGTCATTAGTGTACCATTTTCCCAATCACCATTGATTAATAATTGATGTGAATTACTAGTATCTATAACTGATATATCATCTATCCAAGTCCATGCTGGAGCATTGTAGGCTGCCAAAGTAAGTGTTTCATTCGATGACTGGGCTGTATAAAGCCAAGCTACTTGAAACCACGAAGTAGCAGCACATGCGTTCGTAAATGCTAATAGTGAGGTACCAGACGATAGAATTTGATTACCTTATAAGAAAGAAGCAGACTGGTAGTCTAAACAAACACTGTCTATACGAAGAATGAATAAAATTACTTCGATATTAAGTGCTAGAAAAAACCTACTAGCACTGATAACGCTGATCTCTCATAACAATACAAAAAGATATACCTGTTGCTGAAGCGCTACTAAAACACAAGGAAAGTGTTGTTGTTGTAGATGTGCTGGTTGTACTCGTCGCAGTTGTAGTTACTAGAAAAATAGTTCGTGTGCTTTAGAGGTCATTAATTAATTGGTAGCTGATTTATATCACATGTATCTCATTTTACGTCAGCCTTCATATCGCGTGTGTTCAAAATAAAAATAAAAAAATATTTTCGCTTATTCTCCTGCTTCCTTAGAAACCATACAATCCTTAGCGGACTATGGACACACAGAATTGAAAGAATATCTGCATTGACGGTAGATCTTGGTGTTGTTACTAGTGAAGAAAGGTTTGTCTCGTCCTCGAAAACAAAACCCCAATAATATATCACAAAACACAGTTAGACAACCGACCCTGCCAGATTTAAAAATGTGAAAGTATCAAAAAGCTGAATAGCAGGTTCGATGGAGAATTTTATTGCGCATCTGACCACATATAGTTTTTGTAGTTTGATACTATAATCGTTTCTCAAAAAATAATTTTTAAAAAAGTTTGACCATTTACTGACATGAGATGAAAAAGGTTTATCAACTCAGTAAGGAAGTATAGTGAAGATATTGTTTATACTGGATTTTGTAGAG